TTTGTAGAAATAGTGTTGCGTGAATGTGTAGTACTGAAAATAACCTCCAAATAAGTTTAAGAGTAAATAACATTATTTATTCAATTAAAATGAAACGCAAATCTTCTGAAATTCAAGATGCCGAAGACAGGTATGCTTAGCTTTATTTTAGATAACATAAGAAAGGAGGGAAGAAATATTAGACAACTTCATAACGGCGCTGTATTTAATTTGTTGCAGAGTTTCGCAGTTATTGTTTAATAAAACAAAGAGATTCGTCGAAAATTTACATACAAAAACAGAAGAAGAAGAAGTTAGTTGTGATCTAAAACCAGCATGGGTTGATGAAGATGATGAAAACTTTGGAGCTAATATAATACCAAACATTAAAAGTACAGGTCTATACACAGAAAAACTGAAACAAAAGTATGAAACCTTAATGGGCACCCCTAACTGGGCTAATCTAAATAATAAGGCTAAAACAGATGAAGAAGATGATGAAATATTAAGAACTGTAGGCCATTTACATAAGAAAAAAGCGACCCACTTACCAAAAGATTTCTTAGAAATAAAGAAATTCCCTCTGATCAATGCTGCAACTAAAAATGAAGGGCCTATCATATCTTGTGTGGAGTTTCATCCTAAAGTTAGTGCTACTCTTGTAGCTGGCCATTCAGGAGCTGTTTCATTGTTTTCTATTGGTGCAGATGTAAATAATAAATTACACAGCTTTAGTCTTAAAAAGTGGCGTATAAGTGCAGCTCAATTTTCCCCAGATGGATCAGAAGCATTTATTGCTTCTAAAAACAACCACACTTACTGTGTATATAATCTTGTTAAAGCTGAACCTAAATTGGTTCAACTTCCCCGAGCAGTCAAGAAACCTGTCATATTTAAATTGTCAAGTGATGGTAAGTATTTGGCAACCTCTGATGGCTTTGAAGAAGTATATCTGATATGTGCTGCATCCAAAGAACTGTTGAAGTCTCTGAAACATAACAGTAATATAGCATCGTTGGCATTTAGTCATGACTGCACTCAGTTGTACTGTTATGGAGTTGAAGGACAAATCACAATATGGGATCTATCTACATACAGACCTTTAAAGAAATTCTATGACCATGGATGTGTAACAGCATCTTGCCTTACTTTAAGCAAATGTGGTAAACTGTTAGCTACAGGAAGTGGCGAAGGTATTGTCAACATATATCAAACTAAAAATTTAAACATACCTGAACCCATTCCATCTAAAGTTATTTCAAACTTGACCACCAAAATAACAAATCTTAATTTCAATTCCACTACAGAAATACTTTCAGCATCTTCTGCATATTATCCAAATGCTGTGAAACTTGTTCATATTCCCTCTTACCACGTTTTTGTAAATTTCCCATGTCCAAAATTGAACCACCATCAAATAGACACTATTAACTTTTCTCCTAACAGTGGATACATGGCACTGGGAAACAATAAAGGAAGTGCATTTTTGTATAGACTTAAGTATTATAAAAATTATTAATAAAATATTTTACTGTGAAGGTAGTTTTTCTTTGTTATTTTTTTTTAATTCTTATAAAAAAGTCGGTAGGGTCATAACTCATAATGGAGAGTAACAATCTTAGTAAATATTTTGTTAACACTCTCCTTTCTAATATACCTAAAGACTACAACTTCCTTTTTTAGTGAGTGGGCTCAAAATGACAATTATAGTGGATGTAGACTCTCGCGAGTAAGATCATAGCACCCATTCTGCATGTGATGTCTCAGAATACCTAGTCGAAGTGTGTCGCCTGCTCGCGTGCGTTCGTGCAGCGGAATGTTGTTGAATTTAAAGATTTTAATTATGCAGATATTTAGTGTATGACGTCGTATAATTGTGTATGGTAAAAAAAAATTTGTGCACGCAACCATTGTGGAGAAATTCACCAAAAACTGATTCCGCTGGGCGAACGTTGTCCTGGCGGAACTTTTTTTAATCCATAGACTTTAGAAGAAAAGAGATGTATCCAAAAATTTGTGTGTAATTGTGTATGTATGAATAAACTAGTGCATGCATAAACTTCGGAGAAATTCAAGATTCCGCTACGCGAACGTTTGGCCATTAGCTAGTTTTCATATAAAGAGCTTACATAGATAGCTGTAGATTTTTACATACGTTGTTTTGAATTTGTTTATATTTGTTTAAAAAACTGATTTAGAAAAAATCGTAGGGTTTAAAAGATAAAAATATAAACGTAAAATACTCTTATTAGGTCTTAGTTCTTAAAGTATGCACTTTGGGGTCTAGATTTTCACGTTGATACAAACCTTGTACCTAAGTGTCTGCAACATGTTGCCAAGTATCAATGATCCCGAGCGTACGGCGCGTAGCGTTCCGCGCGCGCCTCAAAGAGCCATTCGACCACCACAGACGGGGCCCTAAAGGGCTGATGTTCAGCCGGGGTTGCGGGGTAAGCGCAATGAGGTACCGCGACCTCGGCACAGAGCAGGAGAAGGAACAGGGGGGTTTTTAGTCAGTAAGAGTCTGACACTCCCTCCTGCCCGGCCCTGGGCGGGAGAAGTCATTTGATGATTTTCCCCTCACAAAAAAAAAAAAGTATCAATGATGTTCCGTTAGTAATTAAATAGTTATAGGATAAATTTACCATGAATAGATCACTGTTTACAAAGCAGTCAAATATCACGACTTTCTAAATGAATTGCATGGTAAAATGTATGCCAATAATTAGTGTATTCATTCAACTATTCACATGCAAAATTTCATGTCATTAAATTCAATAATTAAAGAAAAACAATTATAATACTGAGGAAGCATTAAAAACCTACATAACCCGACCAAGTTCGGATGGCTACAAAAAAGCGGCCGTGCCATATATCTAAGAAACGTTCTTAACTTTCCAATATAGCATTTAATATGGTACAGTATCGTACACAAGCGTTAGGAAAAAATAAAACACAGGATCGTACACACGCTCGTGCATGCCTAGTCTATTGGTTAAATAGTGTAATAAAAAATATTGGTACGTACGTAAATAATAGTACCTACTTTCTGTCATAGTCAAATACATTTAAAAAAGTAGGTGTCCAAAAAGAAATGACCTATAAATTATTTCGAAACAACAAGTGTGTTATCACCTGTACCAATTCAATACCGGTATTATACTGTAAATTTTGGGATGTTACCTAAATATATTGCACAGCCGCTTTTTTGTAGCCATCAGAACTTGGTCGGGTTATGTAGGTTTTTGATGCTTCGTCAGTATTATAATTGTTTTTCTTTAATTACTGAATTTAATGACATGAAATTTTGCATGTGAATAGTTGAATGAATACACTAATTATTGGCATACATTTTACCATGCAATTCATTTAGAAAGTCGTGATATTTGACTGCTTTGTAAACAGTGGTCTATCCATGGTAAATTTATCCTATAACTATTTAATTACTAATGGAACATCATTGATACTTGGCAACATGTTGCAGACACTTACAAGGTTTGTATCAACGTGAAAATCTAGACCCCAAAGTGCATACTTTAAGAACTAAGACCTAATAAGCGTATTTTACGTTTATATTTTTATCTTTTAAACCCTACGATTTTTTCTAAATCTGTTATTTAAACATATATAAACAAATTCAAAACAACGTATGTTAAAATCTACAGCTCTCTATGTAAGCGCTTTATATGAAAACTATCTAATGGCCAAACGTTCGCGTAGCGGAAACTTGAATTTCTCCGAAGTTTATGCATGCACTAGTTTTATTCATACATACACAATTACACACTAATTTTTGGATACGTCTCTTTTCTTCTAAAGTCTATGGATTAAAAAAAGTTCCGCCAGGACAACGTTCGCCCAGCGGAATCAGTTTTTGGTGAATTTCTCCACAATGGTTGCGTGCACAATTTTTTTTTTACCATACACAATTATACGACGTCATACACTAAATATCTGCATAATTAAAATCTTTAAATTCAACAACATTCCGCTGCACGAACGCACGCCGCCTGCTCTCGTTTGCGTATCGGCTTTTAGCATCCAAGTTAAATGCTCTCGGCTTGAGAAGGACGACAGTGTTCGAGTTTCGAGTTAGTGGGTGATCGAACATAAAACCCTGGCAGAGCATCGACCTGTACTCAAGTAATCCAAAAACTCACGCTCAATTATAGCGAACGGTGCAGTTGCTTCAGGCGCCTAAGATGCTTATGCCCATCCAGTGTCTGGGAGTATATATTATAGAAGATAGAGATTGAAAAGCTATTACTTTTAAAATCTGAATCGACTACCTAGAGTCCTAGGCGGTCAACAGTCAGTTGGGTAGGTCGGTATTTGCAAACGGTCGAGATCTTCGCATTCCATGCTTTCTTTGCACTCACAGTTGGTAAGTATACCTGTTCTACTACGCGCGGTTTTAACCGCGGCTCGGCTCCAATTGATCGTAGCGTGGTTCCACTGAGACGGAATGATGTTGAAAGGCAGGTGTCGGTGTTTCCACTAACAGCTTTACCGATCTACATGGCCCGGTACATGTATGCATAACACGCATTCTCTGTCAAGTCACACGTCCTGTTGTCGGTAAAAAACGAAGCAGCTCTTTTGTGTCTTTCTTTGAGTCTACCTACTTACCTAAATAGAAATTACCTAATTCAAAGGACCCAAAATGTATGAAGCCTGGGCTCACCCACCAACAGACTGGGAGTTGCTAACGCGCGGACACAGAACATAAATACCGTAACGGGCGCGCGGATCCCAAGTGGAGCGCACGCTGCAGTAGTGGCACTCGAAAATTCGTGGACCAAGCGGCTTTCTCATTTGCACCACCGAATTGTAAAATCTCCCCTGAAATTTTAATCCTAGTGTGGGAACCGTGTACGAACTCTCTTAACTCCTTTGGTATTGCGGGTGTCCATAGGCGACGATTGCTTACCATCAGGGAATTAGTCAGCTCGTTTGCCGACCTATTTGATAAAAAAGACGTTCTGACGTTTTCATATGACGAAGAATTAAAAATAAAACCCTTTTGAGACAAAAAGTTTATTTATGAACTAAACCTCAGCTATTTATATGAGAATAAAGTGACAAGCCATAAAACCATTCAACCACAAGTCGTTACGAATCACAGGCCTATACTATGGTATGTTCCCATTACAACACCTTATACTAGCATACAGTGCATTTAGCTATACTTTAAATAAAAGTTGTATGTTTGATTTATACATAGATAGTCACAATAAAATAAATTGTCTAATATTTTCAGTGCAATATTTTAAAATTAGAAATGTTTTTGATAATTCGCCTACAATATTTTCCATGACTTAAAAACATGTTTTTTATCTTACAAAATTGTGGTTAATCAATTACTATGCTGCGTGTATTGTTTACCAAAGAACTGAATATGCTTTCATTTCTAAAGCAAAGAACTCGTCACAATAAAATAGAGCAATTGCAAAAATTGAACCACTAAATATGTAAAAAAAAAATTAAGAAATGAATATTGGCAGACATGCCTTGATGGTTTATAAATACTTATGTTCTGAATAGATAAATTGAGTCTAAAAGAGGTATATTGATAGAAAACTAAATCACAGCAAAGATTAAGAACCAAAATTAATTTATTACCTTGGACAATGGACCTACGTTGATACTAATAAGTTTAACTTAAAATTACCTACACAATGCTGGTTTCAGAAAGAACTAAAACTTAAGTTGCATAGCTTCACATGGGCTTCCTTAAGAACAGGATAAGAAAGCAGTAGAATGTGATGTTAACATTACGATATAAATTGAAAAACTAGTAGCCAGTCACATATAATTTAATTAAAAGCTAATATTGCCTTACACTTCATGAAATACAAATAGCATCATAATTAATGTGTTACATACAATGAAATGGGTTAACACATGAATGACATTTGAATAAAATGTTGGCCTGAAAAATTGAAAAAAAAAATGGTACATAAAATATTAAGGTATGATGTAATTTCAATGTTACGATGTATGATAATGCATACAAACTATTCACAATATTAGCTTGTATAACTTCTATCATTATGTATATGTATATAACATAATTTCATTGCTATTAATATTTCAATTAGTAGTTCTTTGTTGGATCAGGTCCATCGCAGGCGGTTGTTTGGCGGATGTGCGGCGACGTCTTAGCTAGTAGCGCATTGTACCCTATTCATACCAGGATGTTCATCATCTTCTTCATAAGCATTGCCTTGGTGACCGCGTCGCGGACGCGAGTCATGTTCTGGGTCTAAGTCAATTAACTGACACTCCTCAGCTAGTTCAGGAATTTCGATCTGTAATTGTATGAAGAATTTTTTGTAAAGATACATCCAATAGCTTGCAAAAGTAATAGTCATAGTTTAAGGTCAGACAAAATTGGCATTAATATGTATGATTGAATAATCAGCCCACAGAAATACATTGGAGTATATGTTGAAGTTGTATTACTAATTAAATAAAAATTACTTAAGTAATGGTAATTTTAAAAAAAAAACATTGCTTACTCTTGGACGTGCTGGAAGGCAGTTTTCAAGCGCAGGAATGACTTCAGGTGGAATGCGAGCTGGGAAGTTGACCAGGAACTGGATGATAAGCTGGCCCTTTTCAAATGGATTTTTGTACATTGGCATACCTGAAAAATTAATTAAGCAAATCAAATACCAGTCATGATAAAGAAAATATTTCAAAATTAATTACAATGCTACATACCTTCATTCATCACACACTTAACATCCCCATGCTTAGTGACTTCACCAGGAAGAACAGTTATCACGATATCCCTATCATCTAGGGTTCGGATGACTTTCTGGAAGCCACAGAGAGCCTCAACCAACTCAATGTTCAACCGGATTATGAGATCATTACTAGAGCGTTTGAAAACCTGTAAAGAAAACAAAAGACATTAATTACTTAATGATAATAGATAAATAAGAATTATATTAACATTGACAACAAAATAACTGATGCATGCCTGATGCAATAATAGTGTTTAATATAATTATAATGTCATTAACTTACTTCATGCTCTTTCTCATCTAATACTATGACAAGATCACCAGGCTCAAGTTCTGGTTCTTGATCACCTTCTCCACTGAAGACGATTTTCTGGCCATCAGTCATACCCTTGTCAACATGGACTTCAAGAATTTTGCGGTCTCGCACAGTCTTACGTCCCTGTAATGTATAATATTTTTTAGTTTACTTGTTTTTATAATATGAAACTATTGAAGTAAAAAAATAAACTGTTTCACAATGGTATAATCACATAAAAAGTTAAAATTTTTTTTCCTATGTTGACTAACCTGGCATACTTTGCAGCGGTCCTTGGGATCAATAATCTCCCTCTGTCCACGGCATTCACTACACACTGTTTGTATTTGGTGAATCATGCCAGGAGCCAATTGCTGGATTTGAACTTGCATACCTGTACCACGGCAAGTCGGGCATGTCTGCACAGCACCCTAAAATATAAAACATCAAGATTACATTACTTGTAAAACTTTCTTTCATATTTACTGTATTGTGAATGGTACAGCTATATTTTACCAACCTTTTTGCCACCACGACCCTCACATTTCTCACAAATGACATTCTTCTGCAAAGCCAACTTTCTTACAGCGCCACGGTAAAGCTCTTCAAGTGTTACTGACAGTTGGTGAATAACATCTTTGCCCTTGCGTTCACGACCTCGTCTGCGACCACCACTGAATCCACCGCCAAAGAACATGTCAAACAAGTCCATTGGTGAGGAGAAGCCACTTGCTCCAACTCCTCCTTCTTTTAATGCTTGTTCACCACCTGAGATATTGATATTGTCACTTTTAGAACTTACTATCTTATGTATGAGCATTAAAATATTTTTCATTATCATCATTGCTTGGCACAGATAAAACATTAGTTAGCACATTTGGAGAATAGGTTATCTTTGTCGTTATTTCTGGTCGACTTATTGACAAGCAAGAAACAGATCACTAAACTAGTACAAAATTGGTATAGAAAATTTTAAATTGAAATGTATGATGTATATAAATGTTACGAACATATCACATGATTGATATATCATTATATCATAAACAAAAACACAGTAAACAAACCTTGATCATAAATGCGCCTCTTGTCTGGGTTGGACAATACTTCATAGGCTTGTGAAATCTGTTTGAATCGTTCTCCTTCATTTGGGTTTTTGTCTGGGTGGTATTTGAGTGCCAGTTTTCTATAAGCCTTTTTCAATTCATCTGTGGTGCAGTTGGGTTTTACGCCCAATATATCATAGAATGTTGTTTCTTTCACCATCTTGGCTAGACTTTACGAAATAAACAAAAATATTACTATTGTGCAGGTAACAATGTGCAAGATCTAGAAAATTCTAACACTATTCCAGAGGTGAATCCACTTTATATACTTAATCGAATAAAAGCAAAACTATAAAACGTAGCTAGGCAACTTGTTTAAAATCGATATTAATTAACAACTAGGCCCTAATAAAGCCTAACGCGTGGTAAAATACCACCATCATCACACAAATGGCAACAAAGAGATAACATGACAAATAGTAAGATACCTGTAATAAAAGCGAAGTTAAATAAATTATTACTGAAATTATTCACTCCGTCGGAGAAAGTTCAAGTTGTGATGGATCAAAATGTAAATTATCAAAGAATAAAAATCTACGTAGGTATAGACGACCAACACATTTTTCCAAATTACAATGTCAGAGTAGAATTATGAAATAAACTCACCTTGTCTTTTCTGTTGCTTATAGATTGTTAATCACAAGTTAGGATACTTCTAAGGGCACTAATTTCCAGTATTCACGAGCACAGAAAACGAGCACAGCAAAAATCACGCCGTACAAGCACTTCCTCACACGAGATTCGTTCAACTTCAAATGACGTTTGATCGAACGAGGCGAAAAGACTTGTCCAGTCGATGGAAGCACATTCGAGAAGCTTCTATAATCTAGTGTTCACTTGCGGAAAACTGTATTTTTTTTGGTTCGAATACTACTTGAGATATGTACACTATGCTTTATTTAAATTAATAATGTTTGTTATGTACATACTTTACTAATCTTCTATTCCATTTAAATTCTATTGAAAAAACTTTATTTTATTTTAATTGATCGTGAATAAATAAGTTAAATAAATAATTTTGACTTTGACTTTGACTTCCAAAATCAAATTCTATTCAAAAACCTTTTTTTATTTAAGTTTATCATTTAAATTTAATAGCTGTTTTCTTATACGAGCTATTATTACCTTTATATAAACATAACAGCTAAAGCTGGGTGAAGATGGAAAGCCAATGTGAAAGAATAAAACATATAGTTTGGTGCCAACCGAGGATTATCCTTGTGTACTTTTATAGTGCAGATTAAAACTGTTCAACGGCAAGTTGGCTTCGGCCCCTCATACGCCTTCCAAAGGTCCGGGATCCTATGATTCCGTGAATGGAAAACAACAAATAGTTCGGTGCCTAGGCATTCATATCGTCATCATAGATTTTATAATAAATATTAATTTACATTGTTTTTGCATACGGTCAATATTTCTTGTAGGTGCGTAAGTTTAAACATACTATAAAGTTGAATGATACAAGAGTCGTATTTTTTTAAATTGTGTGAAACGTGTTTTTTAAATGTTACTATCAATATTTCATTTAATTTAGAAAAGTTATACATTGTTGTCATTGTAATCTGCAAGATAATATTTTTTGTGAATTATTGAGTAGGGGTTCCAAATTGTTGACATTAATTACGACAAAATAAGTCCTTTATGCGTAAATTCGCGACACGACATACGACTCCTCGAAATGTCTGCTTCTAACCTAAATCTTAAGTTTTTAGCAATTTTGGGTAGTAAGGTCAGAAATTTCATTATGGATGAATAACAAGTTGATTAAGTTCGTTGTACGTTATTGTTGTCAAGACTCCCTCTAATATATTTAAAAAAAAACCTTACAACCCATCATTGACATAGGAAATATATGGACTTGAAATACCTACGAAAAAAAGGTGCCTACCTACAATCCAAAATGACGCATAAGATGGCTGCCGTTGCTAGGGTTGTGCCGACTAAGTATTTAACGAGTATCGATACAATTTGAGTAAAAGTTCTACGTAGGTATAGTTTTAGGGATTAGCCAGCTGATTAACGGTATTTTTTTATGGGAAATCATCTAATGTTACTGACTAAAATCAACTCCTGTTCCTACTTTGCCGTCGGCCTAGCTAGAGCCCGGAACCCGGTGTTACCTTGGTCTCTTGATTGGCTAATGATTTTCTCAAGTCGAATTTGTATTCATATAATTCTACGTAAAGCGTCTTTTAAAAAAATAGGACTGTGTTTATGAACAGCGTTTAATGGAATGGTGAAATAGAAATAAAAATAGTGTTTGTTAAATGTTTATCTTTATATATGCGGAAAACCGATAAACGATGATATCTTCGAAACTACGTTAGCACAAAATAGATATGTAGTGAAGTCAATCTTATTGTATAAGATTGACTTATACAATAAGATTGACTTCACTTTTTATTATTACGCTTGGTGGTCGCACTGGGATCGTCGCCAACGCCGCTCTGTCAATCGCGCCCGTATAATTATAAAACATGATAATTTGAACTTCTACTTATGTAACTAAAACCAATACCACAATACTGACGTCTTACTTTAGCGTTACACAAAACTGCGGAAACATCCATTGTTAAAATAGATTATTTAGTATATGTTGAATTTTAAATGCGAGATTATTTCGATACTTTTGTGAAATGGTACGTAACTATGCCATATTGACATATTATTGTAAACAACAATTTTTTACTAAAACTGTCTCACAGACAGAAATAAAAGTAAATATATATACTTTGGCAATAGATTAAAGTATCCGTGACATTTTTTTTCTATCTATGTGGATTATTCTAAGTAATATTTGATGAAAACTGTTTACTAACCTATACAAAGAGAATTGAGGTTGATTTTCGTTCTTTTTTGCACCACACTGCACAATACAACACACAGGCATATTGTTTTTTTGCTTCACTATATATATTTGAAGTTTAAAAAAATGGTTCTTTGTAATTTACTGGAAAACCGCAATAATTTAAAACATAAACAACCGTTTGACAGGACAACTACCATGAAACTCAGGTACTCTGAGCGCTTAAGATGGCGGACATGGCACTTACCTACAACTTTGCTAATGTCAAAATGATTTGTTTCCATATTAAGCAACAACTTAAATATTGTTGTCCCTTTTGTCTAATACAATTATTGCCTTAGAAAGAGTGAGAAAAAATGATATTTCATAGTTTGTTTCATATTTCCCTCATATTTGTATAAGCATGTATACTTCTATAGTAACACGGCGCCTCTATATATTTTCTATCTCAATGCAACCCATAAACATTACAACTGACGTAAACAGTTGGCATTTATTTACAGTTGTCACCATTGACATAGGAAATATATGGACTTGAAATACCTACGAAAAAAAGGTGCCTACCTACAATCCAAAATGACGCATAAGATGGCTGCCGTTGCTAGGGTTGTGCCGACTAAGTATTTAACGAGTATCGATACAATTTGAGTAAAAGTTCTACGTAGGTATAGTTTTAGGGATTAGCCAGCTGATTAACGGTATTTTTTTTATGGGAAATCATCTAATGTCATCTCCGGCCTTTTTCGGGACAGACCGTTACTGACTAAAATCAACTCCTGTTCCTACTTTGCCGTCGGCCTAGCTAGAGCCCGGAACCCGGGGTTAACTTGGTCTCTTGATTGGCTAATTTTCTCAAGTCGAATTTGTATTCATATAATTCTACGTAAAGCGTCTTTTAAAAAAATAGGACTGTGTTTATGAACAGCGTTTAATGGAATGGTGAAATAGAAAAAGATAGTGTTTGTTAAATGTTTATCTTTATATATGTGGAAAACCTGTGGGTATTTGTGAAGTGCTCGCGCACAATTTGGGCGCGTCTGATTAAACGATGATATCTTCGAAACTACGTTAGCACAAAATAGATATGTAGTGAAGTCAATCTTATTGTATGTATCTCACTTTTTATTATTACGCTTGGTGGTCGCACTGATAATTTGAACTTGTATGTTTACTTCTATAATAACACGGCGCCTCTTTATATTTTCTATCTCAATGGTTGTCACCATTGACATAGGAAATATATGGACTTGAAATACCTACGAAGAAAAGGTGCATACCTACAATCCAAAATGTCGCATAAGATGGCTGCCGTTGCTAGGGTTGTGCCGACTAAGTATTTAACGAGTATCGATACAATTTGAGTATAAGTTCTACGTAGGTATAGTTTTAGGGATTAGCCAGCTGATTGACGGTATTTTTTATGGGAAATCATCTAATGTCATCTCCGGCCCTTTTCGTGACAGACCGTTACTGACTAAAATCAACTCCTGTTCCTACTTTGCCGTCGGCCTAGCTAGAGCCCGGAACCCGGTGTTACCTTGGTCTCTTGATTGGCTAATGATTTTCTCAAGTCGAATTTGTATTCATATAATTCTACGTAAAGCGTCTTTTAAAAAAATAGGACTGTGTTTATGAACAGCATTTAATGGAATGGTGAAATAGAAAAAAAAAGTTTTTGTTAAATGTTTATCTTTATATATGTGGGAAACCTGTGGGAATTTGTGGAGTGCTCGCGCACAATTTCGGTGCCTCTGATTAAGCGATGATATCTTCCAAACTACGTTAGCACAAAAAAGATAAGTAGTGAAGTCAATCTTACTGTATGTATCTCACTTATTAAGCTTGGTGGTCCCACTGGGATCGCCGCCAACGCCGCTCTGTCAATCGCGCCCGGATTATTATAAAACATGATAATTTGAACTTCTACTTATGTAACTAAAACCAATACCAAAATATTGACGTCTTACTTTAGCCTTACACAAAACTGAGGAAACAAACATTGCTAAAATAGATTATTTAGGATAATATACCTTGAATTTTAAATGGGAGATTATATCGATACTTTTGTGGAATGGTACGTAACTATGCCATTTTGACATATTATTGTAAACAACATTTTTTTACTAAAACTGTCTCACAGACAGAAATAGAAGTAAATATATATACTTTGCCAATAGATTCAAGTATCCGTAACATTTTTTTCTATCTATGTGGATTATTCTAAGTAATATTTGATGAAAACTGTTTACTAACCTATGCAAAGACAATTGAGGTTGATTTTCGTTCTTTTTTGCACCACACTGCACAATACAACACACACGCATATTGTATTTTTGTTTCACTATATATATTAGAAGTTTAAAAAAATGGTTCTTTGTAATTTACTGGAAAACCGCAATAATTTAAAACATAAACAACCGTTTGACAGCACAACTACCATGAAACTCAGGTACTCTGAGCGCTTAAGATGACGGACTTGGCACTTACCTACAACTTTGCTAATGTCAAAATGATTTGTTGCCATAATAAGCAACAACTTAAATATTGTTGTCCCTTTTGTCTAATACAATTATTGCCTAAGAAAGAGTGAGAAAAAACTATATTTCATAGTTTGTTTCATATTTCACTCATATTTGTATAAGCATGTATACTTCTATAATAACACGGCGCCTCTATATATTTTCTATCTCAATGGTTGTCACTTAGATACCCTGACTGACACTGACACCACATAGACACTGACAGTTTGATACTGAGAATTTGACATTTGACAAACTTCACACACTGGTCACCCGCGCTGCTCTGTGTCGAGTTGATAATAGCTGTGGCAGTGGTTACGATTTTGTAGCTGATAACGAGCTGATTTTGATAAGCTCATTTAACTTGATAACGTCACTTGTTAAACGCGGTGCGGTGTGGCGCGTGTGCAGTCTGCCAGTCTCGCTAGTCGTTGCGAATTCGTCGCAAGTTTTGTTTGCGGAACCTTCTGCTATTTAATTCCATTTACTATTTACCATTTTAAAAATAAATAATGGCAGAGAAAATACTGAAAAACCGAGTTTGCATTATCGGCTCTGGTAACTGGTAAGAAGTAACAGTTAATTCTGATAAATATTATATAAAATATATTTCATGCATGTGTAATTTGATCACTTGAACAAACGTCTATAGTGTGGTTGTACTAGCTGACCTTTAGCAAAATCATGACATAACAATATCGCGATTTATGTTTTTTATAATATATTAGTAAATTTAAATTGATCTTAGTATTTTTGTCTGTAAAATGTAATGTATTTTTTTTGTTGTTTATATTTCTATGTTAATATTTTTAATTCAGGGGATCTGCAATTGCAAAGATTGTGGGTCGCAATGCTGCAAGACTGCCAAATTTCGAAGACAGAGTTACTATGTGGGTGTATGAAGAGATGATTGAAGGCAAGAAATTAACAGAGATCATCAATGAGACCCATGAAAATGTAAAATATTTGCCTGGACATAAACTTCCTCCTAATGTGGTAAGTACTAATAACTAAAATCTATTTAAGTTAAAAAATTAAGCATTTTAGGAGCCCATCACTTCTGCTTTCCTTTGCAGGAATAAAAGATCTGATGGTTAAATAGGAAATAAAAATAATTAAAGCATTAAGCTACCAAATATTAGACACACTGTTTCTGTAGAGACCTGTGGATCTGTATTTGTTCTTGACTGAGCCCATGTGAACACATGTTCATTCTATTTTGGTGACAGTTCATTATCAAATCGATTCAATGACAATGTTATCTTGCAACCTCTTCTGTCAAAGGTGCTACATTTACTGCTAATGAAGTATTGTATTTACCTAATGATTTAACCAACAATCATAAATAAAATACCTATTATTGAGTTTTACAACTAACTAGCATTAACTAAATTCCAGCTAGAAACTGGTATTGAAAAGAATATAAATTAAAACAGGCATTATGTTTTTTTTTAACATGAAGGCTTTAATAAAAGAACATCTTTATTAGTTTAACAGCCAATCAAATGCTTACAAACTTGTCCAAGTAAAGACATAATCAATGAAAAACTTTATTTTATTTTTAAATTAACACTTATTATATTAATCTACAACATTTGACATTATGAGAGTAAGTTAACTGTTATTTCCCATTTCAATGATTCTGTTCTATTTATAAACATTTCATTGCCATGTCAATACAACCAGGTAAAAAGAATAACTGTTTTATTATGCATGCAAAATATTTGTTTTTAACTAATAAAATAAAAGTTTTCTATAATAATACTCATGATAATTTATTTCCACTGCTTAATGATTGGAACAAATGAATCTCTTGATTTGCACAATTAAGATCTTGCAGTGTTTCTTGACCTTGGAATTGATTAACTGTGACTGTGTCACATCAAGATGTGTTTGCCTACTGTATTATGTAACTAACAATAACATAAAACATATGCTGCATAAATTCATCGACATTTTTACTTTGAACTGTTTAAAATATATGCTTTTTACATACATTCAAAGGGAATATTGAAAAATAATATTGAAAGTGTATCTTTTCAATTGTATATTAAAAGTGTATCTTAAAATGTATCTTAAATTAAATTAAAGTTTTGTTCTTTAATGAAATGTTATACTTAACAATTGTTTTAAAAGTATGTTGTTTCTTGTTTACATTAGAACATTTAATTTTGTATTAAAGCTTAAGATTTGTATTTTTTTCTACGCATATAGTAGTGTAGTGCTTTAGTTGATCTAAAAAGCTCCTATTCATGTACAAAGGGGTGTCATTGTCTCTCCTTTCATTGTCATTTGCTCGCGTAGCCGTCGTAAAAGCCGAGTTCATAAGAACAATACCACCCTTACATGGTCGATTCAGGAATAAACTTACGTTAGAGAAACGTTAGAAATACATGGATTAATATTATTTTCAAGGCATAAATTCGCATTATTGGCTTATAATATACTGGTTTTTGCCAGCAGCTTCGCATTCTTCACCTTCTGAAAAGGTTGCAAACGCACTTGTAACATCTCAGGTGTTGCGAGTATCCAAGGGCAGCGCTGATCGCTTACTATAAGCCGATCCTTCTGTACATGATTCCATAAAAACCACAAATTACATTATTAAATCGTTTGATGCAGGTTGCCATTCCAGAGGTGGTTGATGCAGCGAAGGATGCCGACCTCCTTATTTTCGTAGTTCCCCACCAGTTTGTCAGAACTATTTGTTCTACACTCCTCGGGAAGATAAAGCCGACCGCAGCTGCACTTTCTTTGATAAAGGTACTTACATAAATCATTCATTTTAATTGCGTATATATAATATTACGCATTAGGAGTTATACAACTTACTTTATTGTTTCTTCCCCTCAGGGCTTCGATATCGCGGAAGGCGGTGGCATTGACCTCATTTCTCACATTATTACAAGGTGCCTCAAAATCCCATGTGCCGTATTAATGGGAGCTAACATTGCGTCTGAGGTAAGTGCTTATATTAACATTTTTTTTTCGTTACAACCGTTTGTTTTAATTATGCATTAATATTTTTACGTGCTGGCAATTACATCGCTCGTCATTCTACCGTAAGGTAGGTAATTACTATTTAGGGTATTACGTAATATTGGTTAGTATAAGTCATTATGTAGAACATGTTTTGAATGATTTTGAGAACACTGACCAAAACGCTAAACACGCTAAAACAGGTTGTACATTTGCATGTAAAAAATATTTGTACCCACATATTGTATGAATATTTTTACAATTCCTCGCATCATGGTATTTTGTGCTTTGACGGGAGAAAGTCTAAATTAAATAATGTTTATAAGTAACATCAAAATTCCTTTGAAGGATTGACGCTTAAGAAGCTGTTTTATAATTTAAAATCGATAAGCTAAATAAATTAGGTGTCCAAATTTAAATTAGTTGATAAATATCAGTATTTTGCAAAGTTTAATTTGATATTAATTTTTATCAGTTATAAAATTTGTTTTGCAGATTTATGGCCGATTAGAATTCGAATTAAAATATTAAACACATATGTATCTCTGGTCAATATGGCGTAGAAATTTGCAAGCCAATTTCAATTTTCAAAACGTTTTGTAGGTATTCTTCAGCGGTATCTTAAGCAGAGATTGTAACTATGTCATTAACATACGTCGTCAAAGTAATCATCAACTTCTTTTCTGAAGGTTCCAGCTAGGGATTAATTGGAAATATTATGTAGCTTTGTTCGTATTTTTTTGCGATATAGCTACAGCTTGCCAGATATTGTATTAATGCTCGATAGCACTTGATGGGACTGAAAAAGTACTTAAACTTCGTATCCTATGCAAAACTAGGTAGGTATCTAAATTACAAAATTTAAATAAACCCAGTTAAGTATATCTTAGAACGGCAACCAGCCACCGTAATTCAGACAGCAACATCCTCAAAATGCTTAGTTTTCTTCCTTTTCCTTGGCTATGATGTAAAAGTCACTTGCCAAGAGTGGGTATTGCCATTGTTCAGCAATGGGACGTATTCCGACTGACCATGATGATTAACAAAACTCAAAGAGGTAATAGACCACCACAGACGGGACCCTATAGGTCTGATGTTCAACCGGGGTTGCTGCGCAAGCGCAATTAGGCACCGCGGCATCGGTCTAGAGCAAAAGATGAAACGCAGTAAGAGTCTGACACTATGGGTGGGAGAAGTCACTAGATGATTTACCCTCACAAAAAAAAAATGTGTAACAAAAGGTTTTTATTACAAAGATTAAGATCAATATCTATTCAAAAATACATGTATAAAATGTCATTAAGATGTCTGTGTCAAGGCAGTTTGTTCACGCACTCGAGATCACTTACCAACGTGTAAGTGCCTGGCAAATTGCCTATTCGCGTTCGAGTAAATTGTTTAGAAAATAAACTGAAACCACATTATTTAGGTATTGCAAAATATAATTTGGATACCGCAGTTATTTACTGATCTGTCCGGATCAGAAAGATTGTAATATATTGGTTAACTAGTTAAACTCGCGCGGTTTCACCCGCTGCTCGATTCAATTTGATCGTAGCATAATGTTTTTATAGCCTATTGCACTCAGGAATATTGTAGCCATCTACCAGTTAACGAATTTTGGCAATCTGACCAGCGGTTCCAAAGATTAATTCGTACATACAAACTAACAAACAAATTTTTACTCTTTATAATATTAGTATAGAAGTATAGTATATGAGATACACTCTAAATTACCAGATTCTAGGATATCAGATAGCTTAACCTTTTTGTTAATACAAATTTTTCTTTATTACAAATTCATAATTCTTTAATACAAATTGATCCAATTAGGTACATAAACAACAAAAAACAAAAAATATTAACATAATTCATATTACGTTCCTCTTGCAGTAATAAATTTACCTTTCATCCATTTGCAAACAGATCAATAGTAATAGATAGTAGATAGATTAACGTGATATGTTTTTACATTCGTCTAATTAAGAAATTGACAATTTTACGATGTAAGTATACCGTTTTAGGTGGCTGAAGAGAAATTCTGTGAGACTACTATCGGATGCCGAGACGTGATGCTTGCACCCATGATGCGTGACATCATCCAAACTGAATACTTTAGAGTAGTCGTTGTTGACGACGAAGATGCCGTGGAAATTTGTGGAGCACTGAAGGTAAGATAAAAAAACCAATAAGTATCTAATACAGTATGAAACCGCTGATCCGAATAATTAATGTATCAATTCGTATGCGTAGAACATTGTTGCTGTGGGAGCTGGTTTCGTGGACGGCCTTGGCTTTGGTGACAACACTAAAGCGGCTGTAATCCGTCTAGGTCTAATGGAAATGATCAAATTCGTCGATGTGTTCTACCCTGGCAGCAAGCTTAGCACTTTCTTCGAGTCCTGCGGAGTAGCTGATCTCATTACAACTTGTTATGGTGAGTTATTATTTATGTGAAACCTTTCAGTTTTAACAAATAGCACGAAATCTAGAATTTTCATCTCCGAATCGCACTGAGAACTGAAAGTGATCAATAAGCGAACTCGCGGCCACTTTAACAACACAGTCAGCTAGAAATAGATTTGATGCGTTAAGTCCAATGTGGCCAATAAAGCCAATTTTCACTTTACGTAGGTATAAATAGACAATATGTGCACCATTATAAGAAAAAACTTTTCCATTTCGTCGGCCTACGCAAAAGAAATTGCACTATTTATCTGATCATATGATTTATGTGTTTATCATTGAACGAGTTCAAAGCGGTTATATTACTCTACCTTAGTAATGATATGCACGGTAGGAGCGATATGTGTAGAATGTAGAATCTTGGTAGGTTATAGATAGCTATAGGGTTACAGTTCTGCACTTCACTAGAATATCGTACCTTCTCTTCGTTGAATAGATCGTAAAAGCGATGTATCAAATAGAACAATGCATACTAGGATTTCACAGAGGCCTTACTTTACGCCAACCTATCGATTAGTACGTACATTCATAGTTATAAAATTTATCTAATATAAACATTTTATCGAGTGGTTTAGGCAAATTTTGTGCGATGCCAGAGAATATGATCCGTCTGTGATATTATCAGCTTGTGTAAACAATTGTTAGTAAACTTGAGATTCGCCTTATGAAATACTGATAAATGATATCGGTGCAACTAAGTTTACCTTACTATTTTATTTAGCTTAATACGTATTTTTCTGCGTACCTATGAGGCAGGTTGAGAGATATAATATTTAAAATGGGTGCAGTTCTCACTTGGATTTGTATCGCCTTGCTGACATTTTGAACTCGATATCTTACCAAATGTATTTATTCGCGCTTGGTGTATCGCAGTATCGCAAGTAAAGTGATAGCCGTCTATCATTCGCAGAGAGATTAATGGTAAGCATAGCTTAGCATCATAAACTGATACGTGTTTAGTTTAATACTTTTGTATCGCACTGCTAAATATAAATTTCCATTAGGTTTATTTTTTATTCCGTTGCTTATTTATGATACAAAATATCACCTTGAAAATGTCTTAAGTACTGAGCCAATTGCAATGAAAATTTTAAACGAAGATGTATAATTGCTTGTTAATTATTGACCGAATAATGTGCGGTTCATTTGGTACATTATTCAAATAAAGAGGTTTAAAAAATATCGGTAGTGCACAGTGCATTTTACTTAGTAGGTACAAACATCTAAGTATTCTATTATCTAATGGGGACAAAGACCGCGGACATTGACCGGTACAATATCTTGTACTAGTTCAAGAAGCACTTATTTTTCCTACATTTATTAGGTAATTGTTGAGTCATATTTTAATGAATGACAAGCAAGAATTTGTGATAATAAAATGGAAATATAATAGGAAATAGAATATATTTGTAATAATAATGGATGGGGTAATTATTAAATTGTTTTAACCACACCACATACCTACTTATTAAAAATACTTTCAATTTATTCATTTTTCGTGTCGTAATTTACGTTTCTAAATCTCGTTCTATTGGTCATTTTGTCGCTATGTTAAAGTTGTAATGGTCTAATACAGGTAAAACTGGTTATTACGGCAAGTCGTAATCAAAAATGTGAACGGAGTTTGACACACCCCCTTACGATAAAGTCAAGCTGATTGTGTCGATTACAACAGTAATGTTTTAAATGAGTAAGATGCGGAAGCTCAGTGGAAATATTTTTTGCCAATACTTGGCGGTTGAGGAAGCTATTCGGTAGTATTGTACGACTACTTCCGGGATACTAATAATAGCTACCACATTGGACGACAATATCAATGCGTTTTAATAATTGTGAAGGTCATTCTGTCGCAAAATAGTATTCTTTTCATGTTTTTTCAATGCAATTTTTTATCAGAAATACTTCATGAGATAATTAGACCGCCCATTGTACACTCAATGTTTATAAGTTATCCTATGTAACTATATGGTATACTATTATTTTTATTATAGGTGGTAGGAACAGGAGGGTAGCTGAAGCCTTCGTTAAGACTGGCAGGTCTATCAAAGAGCTAGAAGACGAGATGTTGAATGGCCAGAAACTTCAAGGACCAATCACCGCGGAAGAAGTCAACCACATGCTTGCCAACAAAAATATGGAGAACAAGTAAGAGCAATACCTACAACAATAATACATAATATTTTTCTTATTTTTTTCCATATAAATAGGAAAACACTGCAAGATTACACAAAAGTGGTGCAAGGTTGTATGAGGCGGCACAAAACAATAATACTCAGTTCATAAAAGTCGTGAAACATATTTAAACGACCGTTTAAGCGATATAATAGTGCACACATCATATACCATTAAAGTACTATTTTCTTACATTCTCGTGCGCGACACACGGAAGTGTTAGATTGTTGTTGATCTCAGAACTCGTAGATAACGACGGGACAATTATAATCTGCAGTGATATAATCGGACTGTAGGTTGAACTAAAATAGTTCGTCTTGGCTTGCATCCACTCGTCACTTGAGGTCAGTGGTGCATTCAATGAAGGATATTGCAGTATTTCTGCGACTATTTCATGCACAAAAGCTATTATTAGGCAGTTTACGTAACTAGTTATCGAATTTTTGACACCCGGTAAAGTGCTCTCTATGTTTAGTATACCTTAAAATGATTTTCAATCTTAAAGCAATTGATTTAAAGTGCAATGTTTTTGTAACCGTGTTCATTGTCAATGTCAACCTGAACATAATCATTGGTGTAATCCGTGCATATAATAAACATTGACACTAAGCCAACTATCTCAAAAATGGATACTTGGCTTCTCGCGTGATAACCGTGATAGCTGCATAGTTGTACCTACAGTTTTAATTTTGTAGAATGTTATTGTGCCAGTTTGAATACACAAGGCCAATGACGATATTAGTTTTTTTATTTATTTAACAACAAACCTTTATGCTGTCCCAATGCAATAGGTATGTAGGTAGGGTAGGTATTTATAACTAACAATATAAGGTGAAAATAAAGATTCAACTTATGGTGCTTATCTCTTCAACATTTCAAATAGAAAATATTATAGATGTAATTTCCAAAGTCACGCGCAGATGACAAACCAATATGAGACCAGCATGCCATGCGACATTGTGATGAAAAAATATCTCTTTAATCTTTAACTTAAAGTTTATTATCGTAGTAATCCCGTGGTGGCCACACCCTGGCCTTTCAACACATGACTATGGATACCATTAGAAATTATTCACTACCTACGTTATTTGTGGACTTACATACCTACCACTTCTAAATACCTTAATTGCTTCACTACACAGTATAAAACAAAGTCGCTTTCTCTGTCTCTATACGTATGCTTAAGTCTTTAAAACTAGACAACTGATTTTGATGCGGCTTTTTAATAGAAGACGAAGGTTTATATGTAGAAGATATAATAACATCTGGTAAATAGTCGTAGAATTTAGTACCAGCATTGCGCCTGTGCGAAGCCGGCGGTTCGCTATTAGTTTTATATATAGAGTTTTATGTAACTAGGTAGGTGTACCTATTTTGTGTATGTATAAGCTCTGAGTACAGCTGTATACTCCGCAAGGTATAGACAGGTAGTAGCTGCATTGTTTGTGGAGCGAGGGCAAATGAATGGACAATTGTTTCCAGGTTCCCTCTGTTCACCGCCGTGTTCCGCATCTGCCGAGGCGAGCTGAAGCCCAGCGACTTCATTAACTGCATCCGCAGCCATCCAGAACACATGTAAGATTACGCCATCACTTGCATCCGCTTCCTTCTTGTGTAGCTTCTAAATTAGTCATTTAGAGCATAATAATGTACCTACGTAGAATAGAGCCGATTAACTTATTGTGTACATAACATGATATGTATATGTATGTTTATTTTACAGGGTGCTAGTACTTAGATATAAATAAAATTATTATACGTAAAGCAAAACGATGTCTTGTTTGGCTGCACTTCTATTGAAAGCATTGAGTTCTTGTTTGACATATTGCGCTTGCTTCGCTGTTTTAATTGCCATACATTGTGAGTGCATGACAAAATGAAGTTCTTTATCAAGTTGTTAAAACTTTATATTGAATTAAGAAAGTGTGTTAAGAGAGTAGTTATTGTGATTGAATCGTTAACGAACATGTTTTTTGATAAAGATCTGGTCGAGTGCAACCATGCATCACATCAGTTGTTTGTAAAACTATAAAGCATGTAGTTAAACATAGCTGTATAAAACTGACACCCGTTGTTATAATAATATAACATGTTGCTAATAATGAGTAAGCGTCATTACTATTATCTATTCTGATGTATTATCTGTCAAATAAGCTAACAAATATCGCCGGCGCGGATCTGTTATCGACGTTTAGGCTAGTAGCTACAGAATAAATGAACATATTCGAGTGGTTGTTGTTCAGATAACGTTTATTGATGTTGTGGAGTTTGGTGTAGGCGCTAAGTACAAACAAGTATACCGCGTAACGTTACCATAATGTACCAGCCTTAGTGTAATATATCACTAGATACAGTTATCTTTTCAATTAACCTATATATTGCACGTTAGATCTAATATAGTTTATTTGTATCTAAATACATAGTTTATTAAAGCGTAAATATTTGTTGAATAAAATATCGTACTTAGAAAATGCTAATATTTTTCATTCTCCTTATGTTTAGTGATCCTGTTATCTTGTGGTCTGTCTTCTTCACTTGTATTTGACTTGGTACCTGGAAAATATGTCATCTAAATGGGTCCACGACCCTATGCCCATACCTGCCGTACACGTTTTTACCATTAATTGTTATGATGTTGAATTTTTCAGATTTGCTCCCAAGAATATTAGTATTTACTGAATGCTACCCTGAAAAATACTTTTTACTAATCCAGTCTGCTGCATTTGTATGTTTTTATATGCATGTTGTGTTGTTATTAATCATGTTTCTTGTTTATAACAAATTTTGCATGTTATATTGTTTTAAATAAATCTCTTTTTGGAGAAGGCTTTGTTTATGTTGCCGTTGTATAGTTTATTCATTCATCACCATGTTCAAGCTTCAAAAGATTTAAAATGTACATAGTTAGGTAATGTGTTATAGGTAGGTACGTCTTTTGTTTAATTGTTGTTATCTAACTAGATTGTTCATCGTCATTTATTAGAGAAATAACATTTTTTTACACTAATATTCTAGGAAACAGCCGACGCCCAAATGCTCACTGTGACCAAAGTGAGGCGCCTTCAGAATCAGTCATCAACATGAAACTGTTGCATTTGTCGTCCGGCACGCAGCATTATTTTCACATAACACACACATCCACACCCACACACGTTAATATTTTTTCAATTAGAAACGTTAACGCGCTTTCCGCCTTTGAGCTTAACGACCTGATAGTCGTTAACAAAATTGTAAAAAAAATAAGGTGCTACCAACTTGACCTTTTTTCTAAACGAATATGAAATTCTTAATTAGTTCTTACTTGGAACCACAAAATACAGATTCGTTTCGGTAATATTTGGCCTCGTTCGTTTATCTTATCAATACATTCGAGCGTGATGTAACTAATTGGAAAAAGATACATAATAAATATCATTATTGCATGAGTGTCCACCATATTTTTGTGAAATGTTGTGTTACACTTTTAATTTTGTTATGTAGCTGTCCGCTTTATTATAATTGCATAACACAACGTTATCATTTCCGTCTACATGTATAGAGGTATGTTTGTTTATAGGTGTACCTAATCTAGAAAACCAATGTGTGAATTTTGATGACACGCTCACTGTTATAGCTATAAAATTTAAACCTAAAGAACTGCATGCGGACTGCTAGTGTAAGTAAATTTATTTATCAACTTGTAAAGTGAATAAAATTCTATCACAGAAAGCTTTTAATATTATCAATGTCACACTGAAAGTTTAAGTGTGTATTCCAATCGAGTGATTTAATCTATTGAAAAATAGATAATATACATTGCAATACTTGTAACGGTTAGTTATCTTAAAAAAGGTGGTAGTTTTTTTGTGAAATTTTATATAATAGATATACGGGATAGGGTCTTACATTTTATGTCTGGGTTTGTCTCTAACTAGTGAAAAAAGCCATTATTTGTCTAGTCTATATTTTTTTATAATTTGTTTTTGCAACATGTCAGCTATCTTATGAGTTATAGCTCTTTTTGTAATTTTTCTAATGTATTTTAAGCGTAACTAAAAATAATGTGTGTACGTATAAGCGTACTAACACGGATTAAATAACCGTGTGATTCATAATAACAACTGAAGTTCATAAAATTAAACCATATACACAATTCCAACATGTCATTCAAAGAGTATAGGTTGTACCTTTGACTGCACGACAGGGGTAGCCCTAAACAAGAAAACGTCTTTATTTGGCTACGAATAAGGACGAGTTTCCTGTCATTACTGTGTGGTCAACTGTATATTTGATTCATTTGGGAATGTTTAAAAAACAGAAGCCTTTAATATAGATCTGGCCAAATTCACAGCTTCCATCGTACATCACATTTATTTTTTTCAGGATACGGATAGTTAGAAAGACACAAAAGTCACATTGCTGTATAACTTAAAAATATACCAAAGGTAAGGGAGAAGGCTTCTGTTTTTTGTTAACTGTAGATGTGCGTAAAGCGTAAAATAATAAAACATGTTATATGTATGAATATACAAGCATATTTAATATCGGTCTATTATTTCATTACTATCATCGGCTACCATTTAAAATCTTAGACCTGCACAATCAAACGTATCAACGGTGACTTATGACTTTTTAATATGATTAGTAAAAAATATGATTTACCTACGTCAATAATAATGTGTATTACCGATTGATTGTATCTATTCTAGAATTGAATTTGACTGTTAGTATCCATACAAAATTAAGCATGAATAGAAACATTGAACTTCAGTCTAGAATACCTACAGGTCTAAGGGTAATCTAATAATAATATATTATACGAGGTACTTACCTTTAGTTTAGTAGTCATTCAGCAGCGCTTGGCCACAATAACAGATACCTAGCTATCTCATGTTTGCATTACATATTTTTATTGACATAAAATTTTTGAGTTATAGTGTGACAACGGCTTATGTGTTCAGCTCGTTTAGAATAGTACCATCTCATTGCACTGGTGAGTACGAGTACCTACCTATATCGGTATGGTAATATACATTTTTTATCTGTGTTGTAAATATGTTGATATTGCATTAGAAGCGGGTTCGAAACCTATAGTTGGGGAAAACCTTTGAAAGTACTTATCTAATGTAATGGGAGTACCTACCTACCTATATGAATATGTCTAACTCATTTGGCGTAGTGACTGCACAGGCGACCAGCTGAGCCGATATGTATCAGCCGGGGTTGCGGGGCAAGCGCAATAAGGAACCGCGTCCTCGGGCCAAAGCAGAAGGAACTGGGGGAGGGGAGGGGTTTTAGTCAGTAAGAGTCTGATACTCACTCTAGCCCTAGTTTGTCAAGGCAAACAAGACACTAGAGAAAACCCAGTATGGAGCAATGTTTAAAAAATAAACCTTTATTCTGAAATGGATCGATAGACTGGAGTCTCAACCGAATTGTACTGAATGTCTATATTTTACATATAACAATAATCTGATCTCCACGCCTCGCGGATGCATTCTTGGTCAGATCCGTTGTCAAATATTTATCGATTAAAGTTCTGACTAGATATGTTCACCAAGTTTTTCGTATTAACTTACTTTACTGGTAGATATTTGCTTCGCTTTTAAGAAAGAAAAACAGTTCAAAGTACAAATAAAATCCTAGTTGCCGTACTTTGGACTGCATAGGTACTTGGTTATCGTCTTTATTTACATGATAATTATCATAAGGTATATTTAAATTATATCCTTTTTCACACCAAGAAGCTATACTATGTAAATGCTTATATTTTGGGCCTCAAAAATACATAATATTTCGTGCTATTTAGTGCGAAATGGGGATTTTCAGGTGGCTGATACAATTAGTCTGTGAATATATTTTATGTAGGTAGGTATGTACTTACGGATGCCAGCAGGATCCGATCTATCATTTTTTTTCTTTTGAGGAAATAAAATAGACTTTAAAAGTTGAAAATATAACAATATTTTGACCAAAAGGAACGAAGAAGCCAGTCGTCGAATGCATCCTGAGTCTGTCCAGCAGAAACACCTGCCGATATTTACCTATCTTCTTTTATTTTTGCTAAGGGATAAAATGCGGAACTGATTGTATTGTTTTTTATTTTCAGGGTGAGGGTTTGATGAAGTAACATCGTAGTTTTCTGCTAGCAAATGAATTTAGAACAATTGTATAGATCAATCAAGTAGCTAATAAGATAGATTCCATGTAGATTCCTTTGTCTGTGTAGTCTTATAATACCTAATACTGCCATAGGAAATTAATCTTTATGTTGAATTAGATTTTAGGTAAAATAAAGACAAATATTGTTTTTACTAACACAATTTTCCACAACAGAAGTACAGACTACCAACCAATTCTATTAGCAAATATTTATTTTATTACTATTTTTATATAATTATTTTAATATTTATGTATTTATATAACAGATTATGTACACTGCATCCCAAGGTGTAGTAATAACTCATATCATATATATTTTGTAACTTCTAATATACATTATATTATTATAAATAATAACACTTATTACTTATTTTCTCCCTGAAAACTTCCCTTATAACCTTTAATTTTCCTTATAATTATTATCAACAAATAATAATTAATTAAAATACGCATGAAAGTATTATTAGCAAATGAAAACAACGTTATAATAAATATCTAATATTTATTTCAAGTATATTTATTGATTTCTGAAAACTGTACACTGTCTTTTATCTATGGGAACATTTTTAATATAACCATTATAAAAGTCTAGGGCGGATATTTGCCTTTTGCCTACTATCCTAAGAGATCTAAAATAAATATATCTTCGGTCATTGCATAGTATTCTGATTGCATTCGTTTTATCACAATATTCTAGCGTTCCGATTGGCTTATCGCTATGGTCTATGCTATTGTCATCGAGAAATGCTTCAAATAGTTTCATTCTTTTATCTTTGTATGTTGTGGTAAGTGGGTAAACTCCATATATAGCCCGGTACAGATTGTACACTTCAACTGCCGACATCGAGGACCATCGCACTTCACTTATACTTTTGTGTATTTTCTTAGCTGAAATACAAAAATAGTAATAATGTAGGTGACTTCGTTTTAGATTGGTAAGTATAGTAATGTTACTTTTAATATTAATCTGTTAATTAATAGATTCGTTGTGCACTTCAAAATGCGGCGGCGAACTAAAATGAAACATGACACTATTCAGTGCCTAATGCCATACTATTATATGACACGTATCTGTGGTGCATCTGAGTTACCATCAATGTACGCATCCGAGTATCGCCTCACGCAAAAGAGAGTAGTGGCACTGAAATGTCTCATCAGTAACAAATTAGTTATTATTACTGAGGGATTTTATATCAAAATGGATTGGTATATGAAAAGGCATCAACTGCTCCATGTGTTGAGATCCAGTCTACACTGGATATGACTTAGAATCCTCGTCTACACATTCAAGTTCCTCTCTATATGCGAAACATTAGCAGTGAAAAGTGGGTTTTTGCGTTGATTTCAGTACTGAACTAACCACATATGCAGTAAGTATACAATTACCATATGTGACTCCTTCTGAACTCTGTGGCTGTGCATTTTCTAAACTTTTAGGTAAAGTTTTAATACATTCTACCAGCATATCCGCTCCATATTCTGATAGTTGCTCAGTGAGCTCAGGTAATCTTATATCCTTGGACACTGGGACCTTTATTTGACTAATTATTTCACCTGGAATTTTAATAAAAGATAATATTTAGTAACATGTATCAATAGGATTGGAGATGTGGCCTGAGGAGACTATTAGTATTAGTATTAACTATTCTGTGACAAGGTGTCAGTTTTTGTTATTTATCAGTGTAAGGGTATTAATACCCATGAATCTAATGGTTTTCTGTACATGAAGGTTGCATTCAAAAAACAATCATATTTAAAAATAAGCATTATATGTCTTTGATATAAAGTATGCTTACCCACATCAAAGATATCTGCTTTAATCTTCATAAGTGTGACCCCTGTGACCTGGTCTCCATGCAGGAGTGTGTGGATGATGGGAGCAGCTCCTCTCCATCGAGGTAATAGACTTGGGTGAACATTAACCATACCACTGAAAAATATTAAGTTACTTAATTAGTTATTAGTAAGATAGGGGATCATATTGGTAAATACAGACCAAGAGATCCTTCAAAAATAATGGATCTCTGTTGTAGAACTAATTTAATAACAATTATGCATATCAGTTTGAAATAAACTACCTAGGAATCTAAGGGAACTGCAATTTAAATATTTTAAAATAAAGCTTAAGCAATGGCTGATAGAAAACAGCCTGAACTGGACACTATTATTACTTTTGTGTTGTATCATTTGTACTTATTCGATTTTGTAGCTATCTATATTAACTACATATTTGCGGGTCTTAGGAAAGAAGTCATAAAACTTACAGCGGAAACTTATTGAGGAGATCTTCTTTAATCAGGTGACCAAATGCAACTATTAATCCCAAGTCATAATCAGCATGTTTTAAGTTGTCTAACGGCCACGTCACAGTATTTATATTTTCTTCTTCAGCATATTTCAGTATCTCTGTTTTGTGTTTAGTATTTGTAGTGACCAAGTCCAATCGGTCAATAAGGTGATTTTCCTTTTTCCTGGAAAAAGATGGGGTGAGTTTTGATTGTCATAAATTAATTAAAAAAGAAATTTATACAGCAGTAAAATAAAGAGTATCTAAACGGTTTATGTTGAATTTCGTATAAAAATCAAGCAAATTGTTGTTATATTTTGGTCTTACCTGAATTCGTTTATTTTTCGCAGACTACTAAGTGCAATGCCATCTGAGCCGAAAAAAAGAAGTTTGTATGATTTTGTAGAGGCATATTGTCTCACAAATAAGTAATTTCTCTTAAATATAGATTTTACGAAGTGAGATGATAGGTTAGGAATCATTTCACTAAAATACAATAACATTGATTGACATTTTACTTGTCAATGTCAGTATTATCAGAAATGACATTTACAGTGCTACCAACCACTACAAATAATGCTGCGTTCGACATTCAGTATTATCTAAATAATATAACATAGTGCCTTTTAGTCACCGAAGAATTACGATCGAGGATTAGGTAGACGCTTATGTTTAAAACTAATGATTCAAATTGAAAATCCTTTTTTACGGATAGAAAGGGTATACGGCTTATAATATCATGTTACGACCAAAGCCGAGTAGCTGATGAATCTGTGTGAAAGTAGAGGTCTGTTGGTGGAGCGCCTGGCGCTCGCTCCGCTCGACTGCCTGCCTCAACAGGTTGAGGCACGAAAGGCAGAACTCCGCCGGTAAGCGGCGGTAAGGCCCGTTATAGTGGAGTGGTTCAATAGGAGCCACGGCGCCCTCAGTTTCCGGCCGACGCAGGTGCTTACCGGACAGGGGTGTTTCAGGAAGTATCTGTGTCACATAGGTCGGGAACTCGGGAGCCGATGTCTCAGTGTCACCATTGTGGTGAGTGCCCAGCTTGGGCCGAGCAGCGCCGTGACCTGGTCGCGGCCGCAGGTGCTTAGGAAAATCTCTCCGCTCTCACTTCCGGCTGTAGTGTCTACTATGGTCGGGAGCGAGTCAGGGTGGAGTGCCGTCGCTACCTTCTGCGAGGCCGTGATGCTCGCAAAGGAGGCGGCGGAAAGGGAGAGAGAGGCTGACTTCTCTCTCCCCTCCCGCAGCAGACGCACTAGACATCGTAGGGTGGCCGACCTGCGGTCACCGTAGGGCCCGGACTACGGACGACCAGCAGCAGGCTTCGAGACGGCGGCGCCGTGTTCCTCTCGCGCCTCATAGTGAAGTCCTGCGGTCGGGGTGACGAACGCAGTGGGTGACGGGGCCCGCCTAACTATCTGGCGGGCCAATACCCGTCGGGGGTTGCAACGAATGCTTCGGCGATACCCGCCCCTTCGACACACGGGTAATTAGTGGAACACGGGATGGTTTTTAGTTAGTAAGAGTCTGACAGTACCCTTCGCCGTTCCCCGAGGGCGGTGGGTCTCCATGAGGATTTTCCAAACCGATACAAAAAAAGAGTTTCTAGTTAAGCTTCTTTTTACCGGTTATGCCTTTGACTGCCGACAAAAAACTGTTGAAGGCAAATCCTCCGCTAACGGAGGTCACCGGTGACCCCCATGGCGCTTAATGTGTTATGTGATGATTTCGCCTTACTAGGCAGAGTCTGTTTAGCAGCCAGTAGGTATATTTAATCTTCAAACAACTAGTATTTTAGGAAATGATTTCTAAGATTATCCTGCTAAGTTATTAAGCAGTTTGGTAATTTATTATCATAAATATTTATTATTTGATTGAAAATAGTGTCTGTTTGATATTTCAAAAACAAACGATGCGTTTGAATACCTTGTTAATTTTGGGTTGAGGATAATGATGTCATATTTTTTTCTGAAATACCTATAGATAGGTAGGTGGTTTTCATACATACAATTTTTATCAGTTAAGTTGAATGCAGTAACCACCGCATTAAATTAAGTGGATACTTATTATCTCAGTAATTAAGCCATACCTTTTTTTGTGAGGAGAAAGTCATCAAATGACTCCTCCCGCCCAGGGTAGGGCGGGAGGAATTGTCAGACTCTTACTGACTAAAAACGCCCCCGTTCATTCTCCTGCTCTGAGCCGAGGTCGCGGTGCCTCTTTACGCTTACCCCGCAACCCCGGCTGAATAAAGCCATACCTGGAACTACAGGGGTGTGGGACTATAGGACCCGTGTATGTTCTTAAATGTGACCTTCTTCTGAGATATGAGCAGCAAAATCTCTTAAACTAATTAGGAACTGGTTATTAAGGGAGGTGATTAGGTGAAACTCAGTAAAGGGAAAGCAGCATCCGAATTATGATAATTATGTTGATAAAAAATAAAATCAGTAATTCAGAATTCAGGTCTTATTATTTTATTTTATAACATTTATCGTAGATATTTAAAATATAGTAATTTCAAATCTCTATTACTAATGTCTACAGGTAGGTACAAATAGTAGGATTCGGTAGGTCTGATAGTACTCGTATCTACGTAATAACATTAACAATATTCTTAACAACTAACAAAATAGATTGAAATGGAGTAGAAGGTACTTACATTCAAATACATATCATCTACCTACCTTCATACATAGGTAAAATACATAGATACATGTCGTCACTATGTAACATTTCCGACGCTGATCGGGACTAATAAAAGAAACAAGAGTAGGTGTAGAAAAATTAAATAACTTATGTAGGTATGATTCTAGCAACATCGAAAAATCTTGAGAACTATAGCAGCAGATTTTTATAATACATTTGAATAACACTAAAATCTCACAAAACAAAAATAAATATTCGGTCAAAATGTTTTTTTTTTTAATGTAGTTAGAGTCGGCAGACACAGCTGAGCTCATGATCGTTGCTGCTACATCTATTGTGACTTGCATGATAACACATCCAATGTGTAGGTTCCTACTATGATGATGTATGAACTGCTACTCTTAATACGTGGGACAAAAAGCTCGTGGCTAAGGATAGCATGGAAAAATTGGTTCTACTTACTTATCTACATCTCATAGATGTTTTCCTATTCCTTTTACATCTAACCTAGCGTAAATTCTCACGCTACACGCCTCATATCAGGTAAATCCAACACCGATTTTTTAATCTAAATCAAAGTATAGCTTCGTTAGGTTCAAAATTATAAAATACTTAGTTAAAATACTCATTGTATTAAGTCCATCTTATTAGTATATTTTTGTGCATGAAGCGATATAAATAAAACATATAATGAATAAAAATATTAAAATGTATTTAACCTCTTTGTTTGTGACCAGAACGACTTTGTTTGTGTTTAGATTGAACACCCTGTTCTTCCATTGTAAATTCCAACATTCATCTTACCTACCCATAGATTTCTTTTTGCCTGATATTAGTAAAGGTACATACATAGGTTTCCAACAAAGTTAAGTATTTTTAACATTCATTAGTCTTCTTGGTCACTAGTTTGTGACAAATTGGTGCGTGTAGAGCGGCGATGAAAACTTTTCTTTTTCATAAATTGTGGCTTAGTGTACCAGGAAGGTGGACTGACGACACTATCTTCTAAGCTTTTTATACTCATACTGGTTTGGGAGTCCTGTCTCTCTGCTACTTTTGAAGATATTGTCTTTACCTTTATTTCACGTTTTTCATTGACCTGATATGGTATATCCTTCATTTCAACTATTTCAACATCTGTGTCGCTCAAATCCTTACTTGGTCGGTGAACTCTGGTTGTGTCAGTGGAATATCCTATCGTTTTCATCGTTCCACCCATACGCTTTGATTTATCCCTGAATAGTAATTTCTTGAATTCTTTACGAAATTTTGGGTGAGTTATAATATAAATGAATGGATTGATGCATGCGGCTGTTTTACAGAATAATGCGGGAATCATTGAAGATATTGGAGTCAACAGGTCTTTTCGACCGGTGATACCTAATAGAGCTACAATGGCATACGGAGTCCATGATATAAAAAAAAGAGCAATGACTGCCATAACTAGAAAGGCTAATTTTATTTCAGCTTTTCGTTTGGTGCGCTCTTTGACGTGTCTTGTTGATAACCGTTGGTCTTGGTTGCCGTAAGACATACTTGTATTGAAAACAACAACTCTAAATATACTGATGTAGCAAAACGTGATCGTACAAAATGGCGCAAGCCACGCTGCGCAGAAGAAAACGAAAATGAAACATCGAGGTGAAAAGTCTTCAGTAAGATAGTCGAAACTACAACTAGTCAAGTAACCTTCTGGAACGTAGCTACCATAACCGATATCTAGAGCTGGGATTATTGCAAATACGCATGCATATAACCACGCGCCTATCGCTAGTAAACGAGCCCGTATTGCAGTCAGTGCACGTAGCGGTTCCAAAGGCCGAACCACTGCCCAGTAGCGATCCAGCGCGATGGCTGACAGCGTGGCGATGGATGTGGTGCCAGTCAAACCCCCCACGAAGCCGTAAATCAGGCATCCTGTAACAAAAATGTTTTATTAAGATACGTGCACTGCCTTAGTCGTAGCTTACCTTTCCGTAATAAACAGAATGTTAAAAAATTACCATCATAAATCAAGGATTTTAACCCCTATTGCTAGGGCTCGTTTGTTCGAGAGTCAAGGCATCACCGGAGGTGATAATAAAGATGAAAAACGTGAAAGCTATTGAAGTTGCTACTATTAGAATACTTGGTATCAAATAATATATGACAATAAGGTGTCAAGTGCCTTTTGTTTTTTATTACAATATCAAGCGTGAAAAACTCATTTCGAATAAATCGTTATTACCTACCTAGGTACATATACATAGGTACTACAGTAGTCCTTTTAAATACTGATCAAACGATTTTAACACAATAAAAGAATAACAAATTCAGTGATCCTTCTAAACTTTTGCCTTTATAAGGGAAGAAGAATTAAAGTTACCCTTTTGATATTAGAAATAGTTTTGACTTGTTGATGTTCGATTTTACAGATGAAATATTCTGTTATTTCATTAGTTAAAACGAAGAAGATATAAATAACTATTATTGAAAAACATACTGATACGGCTATATTTTTTTAGTTTGTGTATTACTAGTAAATTAATGTAAGTTATCTGTGGACGTATACACGAGTAATTTAATTCAGAAATATTATATAAATAACGTACCAGTTCTTCCAAGTGCAGGTCCGAGATTGAATGAATTAAAAATAAATATTGGAGTTTTCGCGAGCATCAGAAAATCGCTTAACGCCAGGTTCGCCACGAGGATGTTTCCCGGAGTACGCAGCGTGCGGCATCTGAAACGCATTAATCATAACACTTTGATCTTTGTCCACTAGTACATAGGAAGTTAATTAAAATAGAAACGTGCTCCAATTTCGAACACCCGCTGTGTAAAATACACCGATGATAGTTATTTGTTACTGTCATAGTAAGTATACCTAATGTCTTCATATCTGTATACCTATTCTGTACTTATTTTTATTATCATTGCTATACGCAGTGTGGGTGTTTAGATATAAAACGCACTTATATGTATACCTATGTTAAAGTTTATTTTTATTTATTATGATATGACAATAGTTTATACCTAAGTAGTCAATTAATCACGCTAAATTATATAGTATAAAATATAGTTAATGTTATTCAAAGTGTAGACCTATTGTTACATAAGTTTTTAATGTTATGTTAGATAGATTTACTATAATTCATTTGACCATCTAACTACTACAACTTAGTTAGTACCTAACTTAGTCAAATTTTTTTAAATTTGACTTCTTAAGAGTTAGGCAAAATAAAAAAATCTACAAAATATCCTCAAGTTTCAAAATGTTCTAAAAGCGACAATATACCAAGAATTCTGTTGACTATTGTAGGTACGCAGCTTCTAAACAACAATAGTTTCAGTGTAGGTATCTCTCGGGGATCAAACCGCGTGCCTTTCACTAAGTTCACGGCAAAAGATGCTAAAGCTTTCAAGGCCTTTTAACAAAATTGAATTTGGTCAACTTGAATGTCAACTCACTAGCGCTTTTCTCACGGTTTTATTCGTGTCAATTTTAGATTCACAAAATATTTTGTTAAGTATGGTTTTTTTTTGTGAGGGGAAAAATCATCAAATGAGTTCTCCCGGCCAGGGTCGGTCAGGAGGATGTGTCAGACTCGTACTGACTAAAAAACCCTTCCCCCTGTTCCTTCTCCTGCTCTGGGCCGAGGCCGCAGTGCCTCATTGCGCTTGCCTCTATGTTATAGTCTAGTTTTGTGATCTGATGTAAAACTGAATATAGATTGAATTTAAAAATAAAAAATATAAATAGGTACTTAGTAAGCCTAGTAAGTCAATGTAATGAAAACAAAAGAAATATTTTGATAGTTCAATATTTCGAACTGCTTAAAAATTGTATTTAGTTGTAATCAGAAGTACTCGTATTGAATTCAATAAAATAATTGAACATCGAATTTGTTGTTGTCAAAATTGTGTAGGTAGATAACATTTTGAAGTTTCCTCATTTCAAAATGTGAAAGATTGCTTAGTACCTACCTTCGTACTTTGATACAAATATTGATTTACTTTCTTGAGATGGGAGCGACAATTAAGAACCATTCATTCCTCTTTCTGTTATCTCACGGTCTATTTAGACTCTGACTGTGTTTTGAAGAGGGTCTCGGGAGCGCTCCGAACGTTAGAAAATCCCAATAAAGGCTTTAAGTCTCTAACGTCTTGAATGGCTTAGATCACACTCCAGAAAAGTTTTTCTAATGAAAGTAGGAACAAATAACGTTTATTGTTTTTTCTTAATTGTTCTAGTAAGAGCATTTAGTTAGATGCCAAGATTTTATTACATTTTCACATAAGTATTATACATTTAAAAAAGTACTAACAGAAATTTCAGAATAATTTAATAAAGATAACTATCTTTTGCCCGCAACTTTGGTATAAAAACTATCCTATGTCCTTTCTCGAGTTCCAAACTATGTCTGTACCAAATTTCATAGAAATCGGTTCAGTAGTTTAGGCTGAAGAAAAGACAGACAGACAGAGTTACTTTCGCATTTATAATATTAGTTTGGATTAGTAAGAGAAGGTATTATAGATATAAGTCATCAGTTTTTTTTTCTACAAAATATCTTGACCATTAGTTGCATCACCAGATCATGAAAGAAAAAAAGAAGACGTTGACCAAGCTAATAAAATTTAAAATTCGGAACAACTGATATTTACTTTCAGCTCAGCTGTTTAAAATTTACAGTAAGTAGATAGTCTGAAACCCTTTAAATTCTTCCAGACATCGCATATTTGCAAAGTGCTTCAAAGTTCACAAAGTTTAGCGCAGCGCCGCGACGCACGCTTCCTATTCTCTTGAGGTAAGCGTCAAAGAAAGATTTATAACCTGCACCCCTGTACGAGTCTTGATTAATTAAATTAATTTATTCAATATTTGCAGATAGGTACAACCATTTATTTCATCCTGGCTTCAACCGGGTCTCTCTGGCTTTACTGATTTTCGTAATATCTATAATATTTCCTACAGTTTATTTATAATCCTTATTTATCGAAAGCAACAAAAAGGTATTAATTATCTAATTTGGTTCAGAAATTTGTGAGTTATATGCGGACATAATGTTTTCAGTTCCATGTTTATTTAAATAATTTTAGACGATAGAAATTGTAATGCAATATTGTGACAGTTGGCAACGAGTCCGTGTTGTCGTTTGTCAGACTATACGGGAAATGACTGATTATATCTATTTGCCGCAATCAAAATCTAATAACGTATCCATGCGTAGAAGCCAAAATGTCTAAAAGTAACATACGGAACATTAATTCTTCCAAAGGGTTTTACTAAATATTTACACTAGGATCTGTCTCCCTGTCACTGGCTTTTGCATTGTACCTAGTTATTACGAGTATAACTTCGCTTCACTGCTCTGCTCCTATTATTTGTATCATAATAAATAGTATCCTATAACCCAGGAGTATAAAGAATAATTGTACCAAATTTTGCTAAAATCCGTAAAGTAGTTTTTTTTCTATAAGGAACATACATACAGACAGACAGTAGAACATACATACAAAAGTTTTACTGATTGCATTTTTGGCATCAGTATCGATCAATAAGCCCCTACAAACCTGGTAGTTATTTTAAAAATAATTTTAATGTACAGAATTTACCTCTCTACAGATTTATTATAAGTATAGATTGTTTTAAAATGGTGTTAAGCAAGTGTCCGAAATACAAAAAAACAATTTTATCAAAAGGTAACACTCGCACTTCATTTACGCACATACAACCCCACAATGAAGAGAAAAACTAATATAAAACTTTTCCCTATCCTGCAAAGTCGTGTGACGGAACTTAATTGAGGGGAGTGCATATATTTTTTATTCTATGTAATACAATAAAAGTGCGGGAACGGTCGCTTAATTGAATTTTATCTGTGGTCTCCGTTTACTGGTCGGAGATACAGTTACGCTAATTAAATTAGTAAGGCTTTTAGATCTAAGCTTAATTGGCAAATATCTAGTATTAGTCATTTATTCAAGTATTGTCTACAGTAATATGATAAAGAAAAAAATGTTTGGGTGTGTATATATGTAGTTGTAATTAATTAACTTTGTTGGATATGTACATTCACCCTTAGTAACATAGGCTATTAATTTAATTATTAATATAAAACAAAATCCTGGTTGTTTTTTTATGATAAAATCAGGTAGTTTTAGGATCAGAAAGGACCTGGATGGCATGTTGGGTCAGTATTTAAGCACAGGTGTTGCACGTTACCTAAATGACTGTCTTTCCCATAATTTATTAATCTAAGGGTTACCTATACTGATTAAACGTAGATTTCCAAAAATTCTACCTAACTCGATTTTCGAGCTATTTGTGAAACAGTTGGTCGTTTACTCTACTATTCGTTAATTTGTGTGTGTCAATGAGCCATGGCACTTAAAAGGTTATTGTAATTTCTTAAAAAGACATATTCGAAAAAGATTTCGTCACTGCAAATAGCGTATTTAATGTAAGTATGATAACTTTATTTTTTTCCACTAGTAAACTTATTACGTATTTATTTACACTTCTAATAAAATATATTATCTGAAGTACAGTTAAATTGTAAATGATGATCAAATTCTTGAGTTTCACATTACAAAAATAGCATCATGCGTCAGACTAGTCTTCAATTGGTACATAGGTTATTATAGATAACCTAGACTAGTCTAGAAGGTACCTAGTATGCAAAAAATCTCAAAAAAACCTACAGGAGGAAGTTAAGTATGCCCTATATTCCTACCATGAGCGTATCTTTGACATTTTGCGAGTATAATTTATACGTAGCTAGTGCTTGGACTATGAATGAATGACACGTAGCTTCAGCTTAAATTAGGCACGTCCCGTTAAGTAATTATTTCTGTTATGTGAAGGGGTCTTGAGCTTAGCCGTTAGGTACGACGATTTGTGGTAAGAAGGTCCTATGATAAAATACTGTTTAATTTATGTAGAATAAATATATTGGTAGGCGTAATTTATTCTTGAAGAGATTCTCAAAATTATCAATATGCAAGCACAAAAGAAAATCGGTCTACCCAAGCCAACAAATTCATATAAAAATCTCGATTCATATGCTGGTCTGATGGTAATGATGGTCATGATTACAGACAGATGCTGTCAAGTGTCACGATTTTAGTATAAAGGATGTCGTTACAAAATTACGCCTGCCGAAATCTGAAATACAAGGTGATCTTGGTATTGCCGGCGACAGCTTAATTTCAGAGCCCCTAGAGGGTAACCGTGTAACAAATGTAGGTAGATATGACAAGAGAGATTTCCCGCTGAGAAAAACAACAGAATAACACGTGTGTCATGTTTGTGCATTGTATGTTTTCGTCGTGTTAAGCAGATTGTCAGGTTTGCATAGGAAAAACGGGTGACAAGATCTTGGTGGAAAATAAGATTAGTAACGCTTTGCCTGCGAGTTCGTTCAAGGGAATTATCGCTGTCGTGGGAATTTCGAAAATCGTACCGACATTTCTGATGCTCATTTGTTGAACTCAATTGCTTTTACTTTGTTCACCTAATTTATGTTTTTAGCAAAACGTGTTTCGAACTTGAACCTTAAATTTTTTCGTTGTGGTTTTTTACCAGTAGCAGAAAAACATAAGAATCATTAATCATATTATGTATTGAACGGAAACAAAATACTTATGCCAGTCTTTTGTTTAAATCCCTTGATGGAGCAGATGATAGGATCAAACATTTGTGCACAGCTGAATTTAATCTGAGTTTAGTAGGGGCAC